TACAGTTAATCACTAGGGAACTTGGGATGGCCGCCCATGTAATTTGATTGCTGGTCTAGAGGATATTGTATAGCATGCTAGGACTTCCCTATGCTGAGAAGTCTTTTCTAGCTGAAAATATCTTTGAGACGTACAGAGCTGTTGAATGGGGACACTCAGCTTCTTTGGCTTATTAAGAGGTATATTGTTAGCTTTGGTCAGGAGTTGGCACTCGGGCACACTGGCTGAATCTAGTCCACTGCCCCTTTTGTGAAAAGAGTTTTATTGGAACATGGCCACACCCATTCATTTACGTATTGCACCAGAGAGTGTATGATCCGCAAAGCCCCAGATATTTACCATCCAGCCCTTTTCAGAAAATGTTTGCTAGCCCCTGCTGTGGACACCGGTTATTATGAAGGCATGTCATCTTTGGTGGCTTCTGTGGTTTTGCATTCATTTGCTCAGGCACGCTGGTCTGTGGAAGTGCGTTCTGTCCCTTACTCGCCCCGCAAACCACCAAACACCTGTATCACTTCGTGCCTGAGTTTCCATGTGATCCTTAGGAGCTACTGAGTTTCTTCACAATTCTTTGCAGGTGGTGCAACCTGCAGACAGTTCCAGAACTCTTGCCACTGTTAACCTGTGTCAGCACCACATGTCCCCACGCTGATCCATGCCGCTGATGGTGTCTGCCCGGCCCCCTGCGAGGGAAAAGCTGATGAGCGTTTATTCTAAAGTGCAGGAGGAGGTCACAGCTCGGGTCTGCTTGTCTGTTCAGCAGCACCCCGAGAGCTGCCAGAGGATTGCAGAGAGAGCTGGACTGACATCACTGAGACCATTGCATTCAGGGTGGAGGAGGTCCTGCTTTGACATAGAGTGACTGTGTTACTTTTGTACAACAGTAAACTATTCCATTTGTTTTCTTTCAGCATTTTGCAATAAAATGGAAAATGTGAGAAGAATGAAAACACTTAATTACTGAGCTTGTTTTTATTCCTCACCCTGCAGATTTATGACTCGTCAGAATTCTAGCTGGCTACTGCTGAGTGGCAGATTTGGTGAACATATTTGAAATCACATCAATTATGTGTTTGAATTTTGATATTTCCATTTCATAGTCTTTATTTATTTATTTTTTTTTTTTTAAAGATTTTATTTATTTATTTGACACACAGAGATAGAGGGAGAGAGCACAAGCAGGGGGAGCGGCAGGCAGAGGGAGAAGCAGGCTTCCTGCATGAGCAGGGAGCCCGATGTGGGGCTCGATCCCAGGACCCTGGGATCACGACCCGAGCCGAAGGCAGCGGCTTAACCAACTGAGCCACCCAGGTGCCCTCCATTTCATAGTCTTTAAAATGGGGTGCAGCCTTTATAGTCCCACTGGGTCTGTCGTGTGTTGTACTTGGTGTTACATGAAAGCAGCCCATGCAAATCTGGACTTGGTCAAAGTCATTCTCTAGTTCCCGGGTAAGAAGGAAATTGTAGGGTTTTTCTCTCTCAAAATTTCTTGATTAAATCATTCATGGACATAGTGCATTTCTTTCAATTTCCTTTTGGGAAGTCTTGATCAAAAATCCATGGACAAAAGCAAAGACTTTCAATTGGGTCTTAGAGAATAAATTTGGTTTTTAAGTGTGTTTACTCTGACCCAAAGACTGCCTTCCTGCAATATGCGTCTTCCTTTAGAACACAGTTCTCAAGTAAAGTGAGCTTACTTAAATGGATAAAGTTAAGTTGTGCATTGTCTGTAGCAAGTTTTCTGATGGCTTGGCATCAGAACTCTTGAGTTCTGTGTTTTGGGGCCAGTTTGGGAGTCTGGAACCCCTTCCACCTTTCTTATTCTCTTTGATTTTGGGTGATAAGTGTCACCTCAGAGAGGCCTTCCCTCAGTACCATATGTAAAACATTTCCTGTTTCCTCTTTTTCATTTTTCTCCATGGAACTTATCACTGAAAACCACTTATTTTACTGTCGTATTTAAGTGTTACTCTTACAGTAAACTCTCTGAAGGTTGGGAGTTTGTCTCTATTCCTTCTGCACCTTCAATGCCTCAGTACCATGCCTGGCACATTGTAGGTGCACAGCAGTAGTTGAATGAACAAGGTCAGGGGGAGTCTCTAGTCTTTGTAGAACAGGGGCTAGAGGTGGGACAGGTCAGTTTGTGGATTGAGGTCATTCAGGAGATCCTCTTATGGGGGGAAAGCATGTTTGGGCATCAGATGGGGTTCGATTCTGGGCTCTCTTCTTAAAGTTGGTAAATAACTTAGCCATTGAAAGACTCCATTTTTTTCCCCTAGTGAAATGGGGAAAATAATGTCTTTTTATGGGGATTAAAAATAATATTGAATATAAAGCTCTGTCACTATTAGTCCCGTGTTTCCTCATGTGTGTCAGCGTTGAAGAAGCTTAAAGCAATCTGAATTTACCAATCTGTTGCCTCTGCGGTCATTGCCCTGATGACTTCTGACAGATTTATTCTTTGAACAGCCTCTGTTGCCAGCATAACAATGACCTATCCCTTTGACCAGTGTGGGAGGACAGACACTTTGTCATTCCTCTTTAATCTTCCTATCAGAACAACTTGTATGGGTTCTGGCTTTGATGTGTGTTTAGACAAGGTCATAAGACCAAACAGTGAGATGGCATCAGCCCCTCCTGAGAGCCCTGTGAGTTCCACCCGCTCTTCCAATCTAAACGCAGTGGGAGCCACTCAGATAGCTTGATGTTCGTGGTCCTTACGGACGTAGTCAAGTTTCTTGGCAGATGAAGAACCATCAGAGGGCCAATAAGTCACTATTGTGTCTCCCTAGATTTCTCCACTTGTTACGGGTTACTGAAGTGCTAATTCTTGTTTCAGTTTCCACGGATACTTCTTGAGAGGAACATTTCAGAAGTTAAGGCAAATTGGTTTATAAAGTTATAGGTTCTTTCAGTCCTTTGTCCCAGGCAAGTCTGGACAGGACTTGGAAAGCTGATTAAAAGGCTAGTGAGCACAGTGAGCTCAATTTTAAATTAAATGGATATTTAATTCATTGAGAAAAGTAGTCAAGTGGTTCGGTCTTTTCCATCCATGTTTGCTCTTTGAATTTGATGGGCTGGAAATCTTTCTTTTTCTACTAAAAGAGTTTGTTATTGCTACATTTCTCAAGCTTGGTTTTCACTCTGGATTTTTGCAGGTGACTTTAGCACCTAAGGGTACAAAATCATTAAATGAAGGCAGGAAGGAAAGAGTGCCACAGAGTGGCCTGGGGAGTGGACCAGAGAATGAACAGGCGTGGTTGTGGAGGTGGTGGGTCAGGGTGGCGGAAGCCCCCGGGCTGTTGGCACAACACGCTGAAAAGCCAGTGGCTGGCAAGTGGTTTGGAGATGACTGGGTTTAGGAGCCCGATTACAGTTTTGGTTTTTGTTTTTTTGCCCCTAAGTGTGTGTTAACTGCTTTTTGGGTGAGCCTTGACCTTGGACATACACATATACAGTCTGACCGAACTGGCAGGTCTGGGAGGATTCTGTTCCTTAGGTTACACGTGGTTGCTAAGGCATTCACTGCTCTTTAAACGTTTAGCTATTGATAAGCTGCTGTTCGTGCTGTTTGGATTTCAATTCACTGCTGGTGAGGTTTTTGTAATCCGGTAGAACACAAAGAATGTGATTTCCTCTATTTTTTGCATGTGCAAATGACATTTCTGTACTGTTGTTTATATTACTGGTTAGTTACTGTGTGCCTTAATTTAATCCATTTAACCTATTATGAGTAAGAAACTTCCTTAGATCAAATTATAATCAAGTCCCTTGGGTCTGCCTCTCTGACTCCTCTGAGGCCAGGATCAGCTTATGCTCAAATTCAGGGTGTTCGGCAAAGGGCCTGCCGTCCTGAAGTCCATGATTCAGGACCATGATATTTTAGCTTGAGGCTCCTGGTCAAATCACCAAGTTAAACCTTTGAGAGCATGCCGTTCTTGATATTTAAGGGAGTGTATTAGACAATCCTGTGAGTCTTCTTTAAAGTTCTTCCTAAGATTTTTGTGAGAATTCATTTAGTGGAGATAACAGTCGGGAACCCAGCTATTATTTTTGAGGAGGACAACGCGTAGTTGGTGGACCCCAGCTGTATCCTCCCTTCTCCGAGGGGAAGAGAGCACTCTGGTCCCCTGCGGTCCCTCCCCCCACACTCCCCAGTGAGGCTGGAGGAGGCTCTGGCCAAGCAGCACTTTGTAAATTTGGGGGATTATGTAAAAGTATAACTGAACACACACTGTTTTTGCTTTGGTAACTGCATTTAATATCCTGTTGGTTGTTGAAAATTCTCCTAGGACAGAGGAGACTTTTGTGTTTATTTTTCAATCTGCAGGTCTCTCTCCCCGGGGTGCCTGGGTGGCTCAGTCGTTAAGCATCTGCCTTCGGCTCAGGTCATGATCCCAGGGTCCTGGGATCGAGCCCTGCATTGCCCCGCATCGGGCTCCCTGCTCAGCAGGAAGCCTGCTTCTCCCTCTCCCCCTGCTTGTGTTCCCTCTCCTCACCGTGAGACACCAGTGTTTCTCTCTGTCAAATAAATAAATAAAATCTTAAAAAAAAAAAAGTGTGGGGTGCCTGGGTGCCTCAGTGGGTTTGGCATCTGCCTTCGGCTCAGGTCATGGTCCGGGGGTCCTGGGATCGAGCTCCACATCGGGCTCCCTGTTTGGCGGGGAGTCTTCTTCTCCCTCTCCTACTGCTGTTTCCCCCACTTGTCTCTCTAGGGCTCTCTCTCTTTATCTCTCTGTCAAATAAATACATAAAATCTTTAAAAAAAAAAAGTGAAAGTGTCCTTCCAGTTGTAAAGATTGAATCGGGGCTACAAGAAGTTTTGCAGTCCTTGACCTTCTGGCCTTCCCAAACCTCTCAGGAAAGCCAGGCGTCCAGTAATCTCAGACTTTTGGTTGTGTTCATATGTTCGTACTCGACATCTAGCATTTGTGGCTTTTCTGTTTTTTGGCGATGGCTTTTAATTTTATTCTCATTTATTTCTCCCTTTTCTCTTTCAGTGTCCTGGGTCATGAAACTTAATCCACAGCAAGCTCCATTATATGTGAGTAAATTGCGAGATTTCTTCTCATTTCATACTCATCTATGCTTTTTACTTGTTATGAGAAAAGTCAGAAATTCCCTCCTGTGATTATCACAGGAATTTTTAACCATCTACACAAGTAGCGTACTTCAGAAGTTGAATTTGATTGGGTAAATGGTAAATGACTCACGCATGCCTGGCCCTGAGCTGAGAACAAAGAATAGCTGTAAGATGTGTGAGGTGAACTGGTCAGGTGGTAAGAGGCACCTGTGAACAGTGGCATGGCCCTGCCTGCAGAATGATGCTGAGGCTGGCGGCTTAATTTCACCATCAGCACATTTCTGTGAAAGTGGTGTGGGGATCTTCCTACTGCCGTTGAGTTACCCTGTGTTGCAACTAGGTGGCACTCTGTCATTGGCGAGAGTGCTGTTTGCTTTAGGACTCGGGGTGGAAGCTGATACATCATCTCCTGAGAGTGAGGGAACTCTCAGATGAAGTGGATAAATCAAGGCTGGAAAAGGTAAAGTGTAGGTGACACTCTCTCTCTCTCTCTCTCTCTCTCTTTAAATTACTGTGAGAGTGCATTAGTTGTATGAGGGTGGTGAAAAGTGGTGAGGGGTTCCTTTAGGGGTGTGGATAGTTAGAGCTTCCAGAGGCCATTGGATATTGGATTGGTATGGTCTGGAGAGAGTGAGGAAAATGTCTTTGATGGGACAGGACCTTGAAGATGAAGAAGCATTTGGTCAAGACCTAAGGCAGATGATAGAGGGATGAGGGGCAGTGAGCGTGGTATCCAGTGCATGGTGGGAGGGTGGGCAGTGGAAAGTCTGGCCCAGCTGCATTTGTGTTGAGGAGTAATGAGAGATGAGTCTGAAAAGGTTATCGAAGGTTAGCTATGAAGGCAAACAAAGATGTGGGGACCACTGAGGAGCCTTTGATGGGTTTTATTTTAAAATCTGCTGTTCCTTTTATGCATTTATTTATTTTATACCATGCCATGTTAGTGATAGTCCTATTACACCTTTCTAGCATAGGACATTCATGTGATCACTCTTCTGCACAGATGATTTTTATGTTAAATGTAACCTATAAAGAAAAATATATGCGTTCTTATAAGGTATTTTATGTATTTATTTTCTTTCCAGACTACTTGGAGAAAATTTATTATCTTTTTAACAGTTGGTTTGCACATGAACTGGATACCTTAGACTTTTTAAAAACAGCTTTTATTGAGATATAATTCACACACCATAAAACTCACACATTTAAAGTCTACGATTCAGTGGTTTTTAGTATATTCACAGTTGTGTAATCATAACCATCATCTAACTTAAGATTTTCATCATCCCGAAAAGAAACGCCATACCTATTTGTAGTACTCACCATTCCCTGTCTTTTCCCAGCCCCTGGCAACCATTTGTCTACTTTCTGTCTTTATGGAGTTACATATGCTGGAAATTTCACATAAATGGAATCATACATCATATGGCCTTTTGTGACTGGCTTCTTTCACATAGCAGAATGTGTTTAAGGTGCATGTTAGAGCAAGTGTCAGTACTGTGTTCCTTTTTATTGATGGACAATACTCCGTTGTATGGCTGCACCATGTTTTATTTCTCCATCAGTTGATGGGCATTTGGCCTGTTTCCACTTTTTGGATATTATGATTAATGCTGCTGTGAGCAGCAGTTTTTTGGTAGGCTTATGTTTTCATTTTTCTTGGGTTTGGATTTAAGAGTACAATTGCTTGCTGACATTGATGACGCTCTATTTAACATTTTGAGGAATTGCCATGCTGTTTCCTCGGTGGCTGCCCCGTTTTACACACTCACCACCAGTGTTGAGGGTCTTGGTTTCTCCATACTCTTGCCAGTGCTTGCTGTTATCTGACTTTTGGATTGTTGTCATCCTAGTGGGTGTGAAAGGATAACTCTTCGTGGTTTTCCCTAAGGGCTAATGATTGTGAGCATCTTTTATGTGCTTTTGGCTACATATGTGTCTTTGAGGAAATGTCTATTCAGATTCCTTGCTTATTTTTAAGTTGGGTGGTTTTTTTTACTGTTTAGCTTTAAGCATTCTTTATATATCCTGGATTCAAGTCCCTTATCAGATATATGGCTTGCAACAACTTTCTCCCATTATAAGGTTATCATATCATTTTGTTGATGGTACTCTTTGAAGCACAAAAGTTTTTAATTTTGATCATGTCCAGTTTGCCTTTTTTTTTTTGTTTTACTGCTTATACTTCTGGTATCGTGTCTACGAACGCTTTGCTTAACTCAAGATCACAAAAAATGAACCTCTCCATTTTCCTCTAGGAGTTTATAGTTTAAGCCCTTACACTGAAGTGAAGAGTACATTTTTTTTGTATGCTGTAAGGGAGGGTTCCAACTTCATTTTTTCACATGTGGGCATCTAGCTGTCCCAGCACCATTTGTTGAAAAGACTTTTCTTTCCACATTGAATTTTCTTGGGCACCCTTGTTGAAAATGTATCATAAATGTAAGGAATTACTTCTGGACTGTTAATTCTCTTCCTTTCCTTTAGATCATCTTTAATTTCTTTTAAGAATGATTTACTGTTTTCAGTGTACAAACCTTGTACTTTTGTGAAATTTATTTCTAAGTATTTTAATTATTTTTGATGCTATTGCAAATTATATTTTCTTAATTTCATTTTCAGATTGTTCATTGCTAGTATATAGAAATAGTTTATTTTTGTATATTGATCTTATAACCTATAGTTTTGCTGAACCTGTTTATTGGTTAATAATTTTTTAGTGGACCCCTTAGATTTTTCTGCATATAGATCATGTCCTCTGAAAATACAGATAGCTTTCTTGCTTTTTAATCTGAATGCCTTTTATTTTTCTTGCCTAATTGTCCCAAGTAGAACTTCCAGCATAGAGTTGAGTAGAATTGGTGAGAGCAGACATCCTGGCCTTGTTTCTGATCTTAAAGGGAAAGTATTCAGTCTTTCACCATTAAGATTAGGTATGATGTTGTTAGCTGTGAGTTTTTCATAGATGCTTTTTTATCAGGTTGAAAAAGTTTCCTTCTGTTCCTAGTTTGAGTATTTTTATTGTGAAAAAGCATTGGATATTGTCGAATGTTTTTTCTGTTTCTGTGAGGTGATCATGTGGGGTTTTGTTTCCCTTTCCTTTCATTAGTATAATATATTAGATTGATTGGTTTTGAATGTTAAACCAACCCTGCATTCCTGGGATATATCCTATTTTTCACAGTGTATAATCCTTCTCATATGTCGCTGGATTTGGTTTGCTGGTTGAGAAGTTTTGTGTCTGTACATAAAAGGTAAGTCTGGGGGCACCTGGGTGACTCAGTTGGTTAAGCATTTCCCTTCGGCTCTGGTCATGATCTCAGGGTCCTGGGATTGAGCCCTGCATCGGGCTCTCTGTTTGGCAGGGAGTCTGCTTCTCACTCTCCCTCTTCCTCTCTCCCCTACTTGTGTGCGCACGCTCGCTCTCTCACTCTCTCTCTGTCTCAAATAAATAAAATCTTAAAAAAAAAAAGATACAGTCTAGTTTTCTTCTGATGTCCTTGTCTGGCAGCATAATGTTTCCCAAATGTGTCCATGACTTAATCCCCAGAACCTGTGACTATTTATTTTACTTGGCAAAAGGGACTTCACAGATTTGGTTAAGTTAAGGGTCCTGAGATGCGAGCTTCTCCTGAATTATCCAGGTAGCCCAGTGTAATCACAAGCGTCCTTAGAGGAGAATCATGAGTCAGAGAGATTTGTAGATGCCACACTGCTGGATTTGAAGGAGGAGGAAAGGGCCATGAGCCAAGGAGTGCAGCCTCTGGAAACTGGAAAAAGCAAGGGAATAGTTTTTCCTTAGAACCTCCTCAGTGAACCCAGCCCTGTGGATATCTTTATTTTATTGTATTATATTTATTTTTCTTTTAAAGATTTTATTTATTCATTTGAGAGAGAGAGAGAATGAGTCCAAGCAGGGGAGAAAGAAGCAGACTGCCTGCTTGATCCCAGGACCTGGAGATCATGACCTGAACTGAAGGCAGACACTCAACCATCTGAGCCACCCAGGCACCACTGGACATCTTTATTTTAGCACAATGAAAGTTGTTTCAGACTTCTGACCTCCAGAACTGTAAGATAAGAAGTTTGTGTTGTTTTAAGCCTCTGAGTTTGAGGTGATTTGTTGTAACAGCAATAGGAAATGAATACAGTTGTAGTTTGGAAAAATTAATTGGTGGTAGCATGAAGGATAACTTAGGGGAGATTAGCGGCAGAGAGATCAGTTAGAAGTTTTCCGATTTTGCCAACATGGAATCTGAGAACTCTGTAGAGTTCATAAGGATGGTAGGCGTTATGTGCTTCAGCCTCTCTGTTGTGGAATGGGGACACGAGCTCTGAAGATGATGTGATGAGAAGGCATGGCTGATCTGTGGTAAAATTATGATTTAAATCTATATTTTTGGGCTCAAGTCATAGAAACTGTAAAGCTTGTTAGACATAAAAAAAAAACAACAACCCTTCATTCTGTTAAGGAAGCAAGGCTCTTTAGAAATGAGTTCTGAGGAATACTCTTAATTAAACTAAGTCCTTTGTATACGATTATGTGTTTAATTGGGCAGGTCCTACTGAAGAAGAATATTTTGAACTTCAGATTTTAAGTATGTCTGTCAGCAAGAATACTTAGGGGCAATTTGTTATCAGTTTTTTAAAAGGAGAGTGACGATGTACCTCATTTTCAGTGAACTAAGTCAGGTCACAGGAATTTCTGCTGTTCTGGTAAAGAGAAGTAACTGTTCTATTCTGTGTCCATTGGAGAGGGGGGTCAATGCTCTGCACCTAGAGAAAGGAGGAAGAAGCAAAAGAAGAGAAAGCATGTTGAAGTTTTTCTTTCAGCTTATATTTGGGATCTGCCAGGGGTAAGTATCATCAGAAGAGAGAAAACTCCTCATAAATAAGAAAAAACACTGGATCCCGAGAAGAACTTTTATCTGTAAGTGAAGAAAAATTAGCTGGATTCCAAT